CTGTCGTCGCGCTTGAGGCTGTTCATGTCCACGCTCACGCTGCGTCGCAGGCTGGCGGTGGAGAGCGTCGTGGAGGCCAGCGACCGCCGGTCCTTCCTGTCGGCCTCCACGTCGTCCACGCTGGCAATGACCACGTCGTCTGCGTTCACGAACACGAGGCTCACGGGCTTGGGGGCCATGAGCATGACCTTCTTGACGTCCTGCAGCGTGAGGCGGTTCACGGGGAAGCCGCCCACGAGCTTGAGCTCGCTGCCGACCTTGAGCGTCGTGGCCACCTGTGTCTCGCGCGTCACGGTGCTCACGAGGATGGCGCCCGTGCGCTTGCGCTTGAGCGTGAAGCCGGGCGCCGAGCGGCCGCCCCACATGATCTCGACGGTGCGCGGCGCCGAGGCCAGCGGCAAACCCGCGTCACTGGAGCAGCTGGAGGACGACGACGACGATGATGAGCACGTCGACTCGGCGCTGTGCAGCGTGCGGCGGCTGCGGCGGCTCTTGCTGCCTTTGGTCCTGCTGGAGCTGCTGCGCTCGGGCGAGGCCAGCTCGTCCATGGAGTGCTGCGGTCGCTTGAGACTCATGGCTGGCTGTACTGTAGTTGTGTGGATGGATGGATGGATGGATGGCTAACGCCTGTATGCTGTGCTGTGGTGCTGTTGGCAATGGCGTCGGCACGGATGGACGACGCGGCAGCCAAGGCGAAAAGGATAATGGCGCAGAGCCCGCGTCGGCGAGGGAAGCTGCTGGTGGCGACCGCGTCGTGCGGTCGACTGCTTTTCCCAAGCTCGGCGGCCTGGCTCTTCCATGCTAGTCAGACACGCGCAAAACAAAGCCAGGATGCGCACTGCGAGACTTGATGCTCTGCGAGGTCAAGTAGACGAATACAGGTGGGATTGACGGTGGGAAAGAGAGAGGCGACCTGCGATACTGAAACCCGAGCCCTTCGAAAGCGATTAGAATGAGGCGGGAAAGCGGTGCTCGAAGCTCGAAACGGCGTTTCGCCCGATTCACACCCGTGCCATGAAGGAGGTCAACCAAATTTGATGGACTTCGCCGCACGCAAGGCAACCTCATCGTGACCATGGCTTGCAAGCGGGTGGTGGAGATGGCCATGGCATTTTTGCGGTGGCGGATTCTCTCCGCTCGCTCGCTGTCCGTCGTCTTGTAGATGTTAGTTCTCGCCGATTTGCGATCTTCAATCGGCGGTGTATTGCACTTGCGATACAGGCTGGTGGTGAGCCCGGCTGGCGCGCGGGGCGAGAAAGATGTGTCGTCGCCGGCCGTTGGCGAGCGAGCGCGACAAGCAGGCGTGTTACAGCTCGCTCAGGGACGCGGGAGACAACTTCAAGCCGCTAGCTAAGGCTGTCGGTTTGCGGGCAGCTACAGTATCTATCTAGCGTCAATAGCAAGCGGGCAGAGGCGTTAGCAGAAATACGCGTGTGTATCTCCGATTTGCTCGGCGCTCTTCGATCAGCGTCATCCATCCGCCCAAGGGTTTCTGCCCGTTTCGAACGGCTCGTGACTCGTGCGGTCCGTTGGTGCGTTCGGGGCTTCTTTCTCGGTGCACGAACGCCGCTCTCTCTTGTTGCAGCTGTAGCGGTGCCCATGAGTCGGCGAAGGCACCTTGGCCTTGGGGCGTTCGGCGGGGCGAGTGTCAGTGTTGAAGTACCTTGGGCCCCGCCGAAGCTCGCGATATGCTGGGAGAACGGTGTATGTCGGCGGAGGATCTCGAGATTTTCTTTATATTTTCGACGCTGGCTGTACATACGCTGCAGTACTTGTAGCTACTCATTCGTCTGTCTTCGCGGATGACTCGCGAGTTTCAGAACTCGCGTTTTCGACTTGAAAGATCTGGCAGAACGTGGCACTGGCATTGTCGAAGCGAGCGAACCCAGGTCCGGGGACGCCAGGCGTGGCCACTTGCTTGCCGGGGAGGTGCATGCATGCGTGGACACTTTCTTGTCGAGCACACTTGGCCGATCGGCTCCTCCCCGTGTGACGGCAGCCATGAGACGACTGCCGCCAGCTGAGCCCGCGCCGCGGCGGAAGTGGATTTTTAACATGAAACATCGGGCGGCTGCAATGTGTATACGAAAACAAGATCTATGGCGGGGTAACTCAGCGTACACAAAACAACGAGGAGCAAAAGGCATGTCTGCAATGCATGTTTATCGTACTCGGCAAAATATGTGTAAAGTGCTAGCGGTGAGATGCCTCTCGTCGCGAGCAGGCACCGCCGTTGCAGACGAATTTTGTGCCTCTGCCGCCCGAACGATAGACCGTTCTCGAAGCGAGCCACTTCAAGGTCGGTGGTGCCGGCCAGCATCCCACGACGAGAGCCAATATTTGTGGCGCTCCATGGCAGCGCCTGCGGCTCGCGCCACTCGGTTTCAAAGCGAGCAGCTACCGAGTGTGGGCGCTACGAGTCCTTATCTGCTGCCGCTATCAGTTGGGCTCTCTCGTCTTGCGCGGCTGGGGAGCTCCTATACTTTCAACGTTGTGGATCGCAGGCAAGGTTGGGATTGGAGTCAATAAACAGTACCGTATCGTGTTGCGACTCGCAACTTGCGAGTGTACTGTACTACGTATGAACATCGGCTCGCAGCGCATGGTCGTCACGGCTGTCGTTGGCGGCGCTCGATGCTGCTGCTGCTGTACGCGGTCGTGCCTGCGGCCACGACTATCCCCGGCTCGCTGTGTATGTCGGCGTGCGATTTCTCCGGCGTCTCACCGCGAAGACACGTTCACTCGAACTGTCTGCCGCCTTGTAGCTGGGTTGCCACCACTCAATTCGCCAGCGGTAACGCTGCTCGACGAGCAGAAATACTATCCTATTTAACATGTATGGATACAATATGGATACAATATGTACATCGCGGTGAACCGGATAATAGGCGATGCCACTGAATCTGTGGCATGGCTTACTCTGTGCCGGAGTAATACTTACTTTACGAGCAAGTGCATCGGCCCAACTGCAATGCAGTCTGCATCGGCCTAACTGCAATGCAGTCTGCATCGGCCCAACGGCATCGAGGATCCGGTGGTGGGAATACAGGCCGCGAAGTCTAGGCAAGTAAGTATTACTCCGGCACAGAGTAAGCCATGCCACAGATTCAGTGGCATCGCCTATTATCCGGTTCACCGCGATGTACATATTGTATCCATATTGTATCCATACATGTTAAATAGGATAGTATTTCTGCTCGTCGAGCAGCGTTACCGCTGGCGAATTGAGTGGTGGCAACCCAGCTACAAGGCGGCAGCCAGCTCGAGTGAACGTGTCTTCGCGGTGAGACGCCGGAGAAATCGCACGCCGACATACACAGCGAGCCGGGGATAGTCGTGGCCGCAGGCACGACCGCGTACAGCAGCAGCAGCATCGAGCGCCGCCAACGACAGCCGTGACGACCATGCGCTGCGAGCCGATGTTCATACGTAGTACAGTACACTCGCAAGTTGCGAGTCGCAACACGATACGGTACTGTTTATTGACTCCAATCCCAACCTTGCCTGCGATCCACAACGTTGAAAGTATAGGAGCTCCCCAGCCGCGCAAGACGAGAGAGCCCAACTGATAGCGGCAGCAGATAAGGACTCGTAGCGCCCACACTCGGTAGCTGCTCGCTTTGAAACCGAGTGGCGCGAGCCGCAGGCGCTGCCATGGAGCGCCACAAATATTGGCTCTCGTCGTGGGATGCTGGCCGGCACCACCGACCTTGAAGTGGCTCGCTTCGAGAACGGTCTATCGTTCGGGCGGCAGAGGCACAAAATTCGTCTGCAACGGCGGTGCCTGCTCGCGACGAGAGGCATCTCACCGCTAGCACTTTACACATATTTTGCCGAGTACGATAAACATGCATTGCAGACATGCCTTTTGCTCCTCGTTGTTTTGTGTACGCTGAGTTACCCCGCCATAGATCTTGTTTTCGTATACACATTGCAGCCGCCCGATGTTTCATGTTAAAAATCCACTTCCGCCGCGGCGCGGGCTCAGCTGGCGGCAGTCGTCTCATGGCTGCCGTCACACGGGGAGGAGCCGATCGGCCAAGTGTGCTCGACAAGAAAGTGTCCACGCATGCATGCACCTCCCCGGCAAGCAAGTGGCCACGCCTGGCGTCCCCGGACCTGGGTTCGCTCGCTTCGACAATGCCAGTGCCACGTTCTGCCAGATCTTTCAAGTCGAAAACGCGAGTTCTGAAACTCGCGAGTCATCCGCGAAGACAGACGAATGAGTAGCTACAAGTACTGCAGCGTATGTACAGCCAGCGTCGAAAATATAAAGAAAATCTCGAGATCCTCCGCCGACATACACCGTTCTCCCAGCATATTGCGAGCTTCGGCGGGGCCCAAGGTACTTCAACACTGACACTCGCCCCGCCGAACGCCCCAAGGCCAAGGTGCCTTCGCCGACTCATGGGCACCGCTACAGCTGCAACAAGAGAGAGCGGCGTTCGTGCACCGAGAAAGAAGCCCCGAACGCACCAACGGACCGCACGAGTCACGAGCCGTTCGAAACGGGCAGAAACCCTTGGGCGGATGGATGACGCTGATCGAAGAGCGCCGAGCAAATCGGAGATACACACGCGTATTTCTGCTAACGCCTCTGCCCGCTTGCTATTGACGCTAGATAGATACTGTAGCTGCCCGCAAACCGACAGCCTTAGCTAGCGGCTTGAAGTTGTCTCCCGCGTCCCCGAGCGAGCTGTAACACGCCTGCTTGTCGCCGAAGCAGCCATGCATCCAGATATTTTCCGGTGCTGAGCTGAAGTGGGTTCGCACTTACTGTAGGGCTCACTATTCAATGTAGCACACACCAACTTCTCTACCTCTCTACCTCGTCTCACCGGTACCACAACCGGTAATTCCGTTGGTGTGGCGCACACTACATACCGGCCTGACCCGTTTTTCTTTGCGCCACACTCGAAGCCGATTAGCGCCGACCGACCCGCACGTAACGAGTCCGAGTGCCCGCCCCCAGCGCACGCTCGCCCCGTCCCCCCTCGACCATGAGCGACATCCCCGTGCAGCTAGGCCACTACCGCCTGGGCAAGACGCTCGGCATCGGCTCCTTCGGCAAGGTCAAGCGTACGTTTAGAGACGTTTAGAGACTCGCGTTCAGCCACTTGTTGCCACCCCGTTTAGGTGAATTTGTTGCCGACGGACCTATCTGCGTCTTTGTATGTGTCTAACCAGTGGCCGAGCACGACATCACGGGCCACAAGGTGGCCATCAAGATCCTCAACCGCAACAAGATCCGCAGCCTCGACATGAGCGAGAAGGTGCGGCGCGAGATCACGCTGCTGCGCAAGATGCGCCACCCTCACATCATCCGACTGTACATGCACACCACATTTGCATCAAATTATTAGGGGGATCCAGGAAAATAACGGTATTTTATGGTGTATATTTTTTTTCTAGGTACGAGGTGATTGACACGCCCACGGACATCTTTATGGTGCTCGAGTACATTGCCGGCGGAGAACTTTTCGACTACATTGTGTCGAAAGGACGGGTGGGTGTGGATTTTTGTTGTTGTTGAGGTTTTGTCGTGGTTGTGAGGTGTTAACCATTATTTTTTTGTTTTATGTTTATTGTTATTTAGTTGGCGCCGGAGGAGGCAAGACACTTTTTCCACCAGATTATCTCGGGCGTGGAGTACTGCCATTTCCACCGCATCGTGCATCGAGACCTCAAGCCGGAGAACTTGCTGCTGGACGCGGACAATAACATCAAGATCGCAGACTTCGGGCTGTCCAACAGCATGGAGGACGGAGACTTTTTGCGCACGTCGTGCGGCTCCCCGAACTACGCAGCTCCTGAGGTGATCTCCGGCAGTTTATATGCTGGTCCTGAAGTGGACGTGTGGTCCTGTGGCGTCATTTTGTACGCGCTGCTGTGCGGCAGCCTGCCGTTTGACGACGAGAGCATCCCCAACCTGTTCAAGAAGATCCGCGGCGGTATGTACTCGCTGCCCAGCCACCTTTCCGAGATGGCGCGCGACCTCATCCCGCGCATGCTCGTGGTGGACCCCATGAAGCGCATCACGATCCCGGAGATCAGGCAACACCCATGGTTCCAGATTGATTTGCCCCCGTACCTGCAGCACCCGCCGGAGATCGTGGAACACAAAACCTTCAAGATTGACGAGGAGTGCCTGTCCCAGTGTTTGGCTCTGAATTACGCCGCAAATATCGGCCACGACCAGCTAGTAGCATTGCTCAAGAGGCGAGAAAACCACCCGCTCCGCGTGGCGTACGAACTTATTCTTGATCACAAGAACGCCAAGATCCGTATTGATGGTACGTCCATTGCTTCTCGTGGATCTCATCCAGCTGAATTTTGCCTGATAGAGCCATTTATTTTCTGCTCTCTTAATCTAACGTTGTTAATTTGCTGTGTCTAGAACTGCGTGATGTGCGAACGGTGAATAACAAACCCAAGACGTTCTCGACTCCCGAACCTAGCACTTTGCTGCTCCCTGGACGAGGACCCCTTCCTATGGCGGCATCTCCCTTGGTCACGCCCTCGTCAGCGCTGCCTGACCCTCGGAATTTTGGTGGACGAGGAATTAATATCCCAGGTCAAGCACCACGGATGTCCGCGGCCGGAGGAAATGGCATGCCTGGATTTGATGACGGGCACGGCGCAGCCCCCACTCCCAAGCGGCGACGATGGTACCTGGGCATTCAGTCGAAGAAGGAGCCGGCTCACGTGATGTCGGAAGTATACAAGGCGCTGTTCGTGCTCCACTTTGAATGGAAGGTCGTGGCGCCGTACCGCGTAAAGTGCCGGTGGCAGTCGCCTGTAGGAGACCCCAACAACCAGAACGGGGGCGCCGTGCTGAGCCCGGACGAGCTCAAGTTGCAGCAGCAGATGCAGCGCATCAAGATCGGCCTCCAGCTGTACAAGGTGCAGCAGCACATTTACTTGCTGGACTTCCAGCGTCTGGACGGCAACGCCTTCACGTACATGAACCTCTGCGCTCGCATCATCACAGAGCTCAAGACCCTCTCCGGCATCCGACCGCTGGCCAGTGGCCACGACCCGCGCTTCGGAGGCGACGGCGGAGGCAATATGAACTCGGTGCACCTGCACCAACACAACCCCATGGGTGCCCAGGGAGCTCAGTAAATGGGACCACTGCGAGCTAGGACTACGCTGTCACCTTTTGGAGCATGTTTTGTAGGCTGATTTGACTCGGAGAAGTCGAGAGCGGAACACATTAAACAAAGCAAGTAAAAGACTTTATATCGATTGGAAAACAATTTACGCTTCACACTCCGAAAGCACCCGGGGCTCGATGTTGACTGCAAGCTGGTCACGTCGCGCACACTTGGCCTGGCGAAATAGGCAGTCGTTGCCATAGAGCTGGCCATTGGACGCGCACACTGGGTCGTACTCGTCTGTGCAGGTCGCTGGACAGAGAGGCACCACATTCGAGTCTTCACAGGACCCAGTTCGGATCATCGACAGCGTTGCCTGGTTGCATTTCTTCTCGCGGTTGAAGTAGCACAGGTTACGCATTGTGCCTGCGCTCGTACACACAGGACCCAGCACGTCCGCGCAAGTGATTGCAGCCAAACAAGTTGCAGCATCATCAGCTGAGCTGGACGGTGGAGGATTGTACTTGGCGTTTAGAGCCTTTTCACGCTCGCAGATCCCTCGAGACGCCACCACCAAGTCGGGATTTCCAGTGGTGCATCGCGCCTTCTTGAGAAAGCACGAGTTGGCGTACGAGGCGCCGTCGGAGCCGCACACTGGAGAGCTTATGAGCTGACAACGCAGCTCGCAAGACGAGGCTGCGGTCGAGTTGGTCACCATTGACGTGACTCGAGGCTCGCACACTGCTTCAGGCAAACACGGCTCGGTCGTACACGGCACCACGCCTCTCAACGTGCACATTTCGGTGTCGTCGTTGCACCGACCGGGGGCGCACACTTCAGCGCAGAACTCCGAGTCCTTGTACACGAAGCACTGCTCGAACTCGCCACACGTTCGCATGCAGCTCGACGTCAGAGTTTCGGCGTCTGCACAGCACACCAGGATGCACACCAACACCAGAAGACAGCCCTTCATGGCAACACACAAGATCCTTTGGCGACCGCGAAGCGACGTTATCCAGCTCGAAAAAGAGACGGTTGCCATCCACGTGCTTATTCTGTGCTGGTGCTCTTGAATACCCGCTTCGAGCCAGCAATGCGCGACAGCACATCGTTTGACGCGCATAGTTGCTGGAGCATTTCGAGCTGCTGACGCTGCATTTCTTCCAGCCGATTGTTGGATTGCACGTTCTCAGCTTTTTCAGCTTGGCGTCGCTCAGGCAAGACTGAAACCCCACTAGCACTATCACTGTGACTCGTAGCAGCTACAGCTCTGGGACTTCGAGTTGAGGGTGCGTCTTCCGTCTTCTGCTTCTTCGACGACGCTGCTGAGTCTTCAACTCCACTCACAGCAGCCTCAGAACGCTTCTGCGACTCTTGCTTCTCTTCTCCTCCAGACATTATTCTCTGTTGTCCACCCATCGATTGTGCGCTACCTAGCAGCTCGCCGTCTGCACCACTTGAAAACTCCTTTTCACTTTCTGTACTTGACTGCGAGTTGTTTTCTCCCTCCTGGCGCACTTTAGTAGGAGCGCGACCCGACAGCACGGGGTGCCTCTCCTTGAATCTGCGCAGCCATCCTTCCTTCAGTCGATCCTCGGTCGTCTCTCCAGTCAGCGCTCGATACTGTTCATTAGCTCTCGCGAGGATGTCCTTCTTGGTCACGCGCGTTCCTCGACATTGCATGTCCAGAATCCATGCCACCAACTCCTGCTCTGGTTGGCCCTCCAGCAGCGGGCGTGGTCCTCGTCTCCGATCCACTTCGCCCCGTTGCACCCGCAACACTCGACGTCGAATAGTCCGTTGATGCAACAGCGGGAAGCGCTGCGTCACCTCGCTCATGGATTTCCCAGCCAAGTACATCTCCACAGCCGCCTCCATATGATTGCGGTTGTACTTCCTCGTCTTGGTCGGCTCAGCAGCTTCTTCAGCCTCTGTGTCTTCCTCTTTACCCTCCAATTGCTCCGAAGGCTCAGAAACCTTTAAGCTCTCAGCTTCTTGGCCTTCCACTGCTGCATCCATTAGCGTTCCACCACTTAACGTGAAATTTACAGTTGCATCATTTGAGTCGGTACTTTTCGTCTTGACTATTGCAGCAGCTCCGGAGCGTAAATTCAGCTCCGGGTGCCTCGCCACGAAGCGGTTGCACCACCCCATGCCAACCGATTGGCTGGGCTTCGTCTCTTCTCCTTCTTGGGTCTCATCCAGTCGTGATATTTCTCGAGCCTGGCTGATGACGTCGTCACGTGAGACTCGTCGACCTGAGCTCTGCTGCGCCAGGACCCACTGCGCCAGCTGCTTCTCCTGCTCCATTGAGAGCAGCGGCTTGGGCCCGCGCCGGCGTGCGGGGCTCTCGGGCATTGGTCTCAGTTCGGGATTTGAAACAAAATGGACATTTTATTGGTTATGACATTTTATTGGTTAACCCTTCTAGCCCCAGACCTTATTCTGTATCCTACAGAATAAACATTAGACTTGATTAAAGTATACTTCAAAACCTGTCAAAGATTTGCTGTTGGAAGCCCTTTCGCATCTTGCGGTGAAGCGCAGGGTACATTGTCCACAGAACAGCAACGAAAGTGAACAAAACATGCTCAATGTATCCACCATATACCGAAATGGCGAGCTTCTATTGGTCGTGGCGAGCGTAGAGCACGCTCAAAACCTGCTACATGGTAATACCTTGCAAGGCTGCTAACGCAGCATACTTCGGCTCCAGCCACCCATCTTCGGCACGTCGCGATAAACGCGGAGGAAGAAATCGCCCTGTTCCTAACTGACGTAGTGAGGAGGAACTGGGCGAATTCTTCCTTGTGCTTGACATTAGCGCATCATTAGATTTCTTTAGCCCACCTAACAAGCTTGTTACGATTGTCTCTCTAACAACACCAGGGAGCTTGCATGCTCAATAGCCCGTAATGACACGCACGACACACGGTTCCTCTTGTACGAAACAGGACAATATATGATATTCATGCCAACGTCTACTGCTTCCTTTACATGCGCACGCTCTTCAATGTTCGCGCCAGCCGTGGGTCATCTTCGCCATTTTGGCAGCCTCCGCTTTGCTCTGTAGCCTCCGGCACTGCCGCTCCATTCCTGCCGCTTTCATCGGTAGCCTCCGTCGTAGCCTCTGTCCCTTCTTCTGTAATCTCCGGTGTAACCTCATCACGCGGAGAGCTTCTTCTGTAGCATCCGTCGTAGCATCTACCGCTTCTTCTGTAGTCTCCGGTGTAGCCACACCATGAGGAGCGCTTCTTCTGTAGCCTCTTGGGTAGCCACTGCATCAGCTACAATATAGCGGTAGACCCGGCCGTAGCCGGCTTCGTAGGAACCGATGAGGTTGTGCGCTGACTCCGCAATCGATCTGCCAATCGGGCCACACGCGAGAGCTCATAGCGTCGTCTGGGTCGGATCACCAGGCCTGGTAATCAACATCGCAACGTAGAATCAATATACCACTAGTACAATGTTACAGAGCAAAGTACACGCTCTCGCTTACCTGTAGATCACAATGGCGCTCATCATGATCGTCTTCGGCCATGGTCCTTGGCCACTTGGGCGCGCTCGACGGGCTCCAACAAAGCTTGCATTGCGACGTCTTGAACAGCGCAGTTTCGGAATGAAGGAAAGTACGAGTGGCTAGCACGCGGCGGTTTTAGGCTTCCACCCGAATTTTCAAACCTGTTGGTGGTTTATACTCGTCCGACTATTACCGCGGAATAAACCCCGTTTATCTTCCCATCGCTAATCTAACAGGAAGATGTGCACAATACCGGCTATACAAACATCCATATGCGAAGTTCGAAAGAGAGGACAAGTTTGCTGGATATTATGTCCTGTGACAATGCTTATTCTGTAGGATACATAATACGGGGTTAGAGGGGTTAATAAAAAACTACAGTATCGGAAAGCGAGTGTCTGAGAGGCGAAGAGGGGTACTGAAGCGTTTGCATGTCGCCTCAGTTTCATCCAACAACACAAGACGCAATGGCTCTTCCAACGCTGCGCATACATGTACCACATCCAGCTTGTCTGACAATATTAATAAAAAATGATCTATGCTAGAATCCACTGCCCCCCGGATAAATTTGCCGTTAGTCTCGGACTGGTTTTTCAAGCAGTTTACGTTAAAGCGCACGCCTGTTTCACCCTCGATCTGTTACTTAAAGTTAAGCAAAGGAGAGTCGGATGAATCCCGTCGAGACGACCCACGACATTTGCTCGTAAGCGGATCATTTCGTTCCGCTTTCCCCCGCTACAATTCTATCGTCGCTCTGCAGACGGTCATGACGACATGGCTATCATAGCACACGTCTTTTCGTGTAAAGGATCGGTGGCTTGAATACACTAGGCAATAGCATCGATTTACTAAAATTTTACTGTACAGTACGTTCTGTGCCACTGAAAAATATGAGATGTATTGCCTAAGATTTACGATAAGCGCATACGTTTTATACTATCTCGCTAGATCCGCTAGTACACTACTGTGCAATGCGGTCGATAACTAGTAGAGGCCTCACCCATATGTATATCAACTCTCATGCTACCAACGACCATTTTGTTGGGGATCTAATAAATACTAGTATGGGGAGTATTTGGTAAAATCTTTTAGTTCTACAAATATTCGTTCAGAAATGTAGAGACCATTGGTGTCGTCAGGAATACAGCGTCATGCACTACCCATGTTGCTGATAAGTACAGTAGCTCTGGCGACGTAGTATCCCCCAAGTAGGGTCAACAGTGGTGAATGCTTTTGAATTTGAATTTGTTGCGGTTTAGACGGCTAACTACACCCGATGCCGCGCACTGCTGCAGCTTCGCCTACGGATCACGGGCCTCCGCCCGCGGTAGTAGCCCAAACACACGGGTATACACCAACCAAATGCCACTAGGGCATTCGACCCAGATATACACCTACGATATGCAATTGCTAAAAAAGATATGCAACCCCTCCTTTTCGCGCTTCGTCGGTCCGGAGTCCACCACCTCTACGCGTCCCTCCAACACGTTGTTCACCTTTGTTCCCTCTTGTCCTTCTCTTCCGTCTCGCTCTTCGTCAATCCAGCGGTCACCTCTGCGCCGCGCTCGTCGGAATTCGATCCTGACGCCACGATAGCCTTACAAGATCGCGTGGCCAGCAGTCTGCACTCTTTCTGTAACGGGGTTACATGGAATAGTGACCCTGTCACTATTCCGGGATGGCTACATCGGTCACTCCCCTGGATAGTGACCCAAGTGGCCTCAGAGCCAACAGATACGTTTTGTATGACACAAACTATAGGGAACTTAGGATTTGTATGCAGGCCAAATCTGTACCAACCTATAAATACATTCAGTCTTAGATCTACCGCTTTTCAAGTCAAGTCGTCCCCTTCAGACCAAGGACACGTGAACGGCTGTTCACTTGGAGTTTGTATACTCCTGCTTCCTCTGTTAAGAAGTGCTGTGTGCTCCATCATACTTTCCGCCGTCTCGCGCTTCGTCGTCACCAATACACCCTGCTTTTCGTTTCTGTTTTGCCTACCGTCTTGATCAGCCTGTTGTGCCACGAGGTCGACACCCTTCGTCGACCCTGGCCACCTTGAAGATGCCATTGCTGTCGTCTTGCTCCTTCCTGTGATCCCGAGGGAGGATTCCTCCCAGGAAGGCCAAGGGCCGGAAATCCTTGGAGGCGTCCTCTGACACTTCTCCGCGACCGGTCAAAATTTGGAATCTGGTGAATGCTGCCTTCGACCAACACGAGGGTAGTAGTTGACTCAATGGAGTTCTCTTCCTATCCATGTAGTGAAATCTAACGTTGGGATTGAGAATCTGACAACATTCGCTGTTCCGTCGCCGACACACGTCAGATGACAACCGACGAAGAAACTTGTGGCGCACGAAGAGCGTTTGGTTGATGTAAGAGAATACCGGTACTCGGTATTATCGGAGGCGACCAGGTCAGTTATCAATTGTTTTGTCTTCGATGTGCTTCCATGTACCACGTTGTGCCATGTCGTCTGTACTGTGCTTTAACAGAGCAAAACAGCACCGAGCTGCCTACGCTGTACTTCCAGCATAAATTTTGCCGTTCGTACGTTGGGCACCCATTTATCAAGTCCAAGCCTTACATCAGTCCCAAGGATCTCCAGTGGATTTGGAACAAACGCAAGAAGGCGGAGGTGGAGCCTTACGACAACTGGATCATGGACCACATCGTAGCTAACAAGGGCACGCTCAACTACTGCGTTCGCTGGGACAGCAAGAAGACCCAGCCAACGATGTTGATCTTGACTTCGTCGCTACGACGAAGTCAAGATCAACATCGTTGGCTGGGCTGCTAGACAGGCCACTGACCTCGAGTGGTTGGACGATTCGCTCGGCAAGATCTACATCGGCGACCTTGTTGATAAGGGCTCTCCGCAGTGCCACGACAACCGCTACCGCTCGGTGGACGGCTCTCCCGGTGGCTGGTCGGTGTACAGCAGCTGCGATGGCAAGCCTTTCGACATCTCTCTGTGGGCTACGCAGAATCTGGGTGGCGGCTGGGGAATCTATAACTTCCAGCAGGTGGACCTTGACGACATGGTGGCGCACCTCGATACCGACGAGCTTACCATTGTATCGCACGATATGGGTCACGGCTTTGGGCTACCGGACTTCTATGAGGAGCCCCAGCCTCTTAACTTCAAGCTGTGCCTCATGGATGCGCTCTCAACACCCACGATCAAAGACACGGACGGCTGGATGGTTCGCCGTGTGCTCGGAAACAAGAAGCCCAACTATCACTTGTAAGCATGTGGATTGGCCCTGACTCGCGCTACGTCTAGAAACTACATGAAGAAAAGCACACAAAGACCATGTTCGTTGTTCATAACGAACACAGTCAGTAGATGTTCACCTTCAGGAGAGCGCGTTGATTTTATATTTCAACTTTTTTGTCAAAAAATATTTGTGAGGCCCCCTTTAGGAAGAACGTGCAAGGTAAACATCAATTGATCTATTAACGACAAACAAAGACCCTGACTGGTCTTTTGGACAAAGCAAACCACAAAGTTAGATGTCGTAGTTGGACTTCTTGTACTCGAGCACACGGCGCACCATCCAGCCGCCCGTGTCTCGCATAGTGTTTGAAGTGAGCGCGTCCATGAGGCACGGCTTGAAGTTGGGAGGCTTCGGCTGCTGGTAAAAGTCTGGCAGACCGTAGTTGTGTCCAATCTCGTGGGCGACGATCGTAAGCTGGTCGTCGTCAATGGTCGGCATCATGTCTTCGAGGTCCACCTGCTGGAAATTGCCGGCTCCCCAACCACCGCCCAATCCATGCGTCGGCTGGAGATAGACATCAAACGGCTTGCCATCGCAGTTACTGGAGTCCCAATAACTCGCCGCAGAATTATCGACCGATCGGTAGCAGCTTTCGGGGCACTGCGGGGTTCCGTCCTTGTCGAGATCGCCGATGTAGATCTTTTCTGATAGGCCAATAAAGTTTGTATTTTCCCTTGTGGGGACGGTCGGGCCTCATTATGTGTCACAGTGCGGGGATTTCTTAGCGCGTACCTTTACCTACACTTCTTCGTAAGCAAGTGGCTTTTCCAGGATGGATTTTGTTTCTGATAGGCCAATTATTCCTCCCCCTAACCCATCTGGGGTCTGTGGATACGGGCATTTCTCGTACCGCCGAGGTCCTTGCTGTTACTTTCTAAAGTGAAACCGTCCTTCCTATAAGCCAGCTGTTCTCTACGTTTATTTCCCCTTAGTGTCAGGGTGCCCTAACCGCCTGGGCCATGAGGGACGTTCCTCTACGGGGGTTCTATACACTTCTCGATCGGAGAAACTAATGTCCGCTGTGGGGCTCGAACCCTCGGTCCATAGCGTAAGGGCCAGAAGCTTAACCCACTCGACCGCGCCACCGGCTTTACCGATGTAGATCTTGCCGAGCGAATCGTCCAACCACTCGAGGTCAGTGGCCTTTCTAGCAGCCCAGCCAACGATGTTGATCTTGACTTCGTCGTACGACCAGCAGTCGTAGCCAATAAGCCAGCATTTCTACAGAGCATACTGGCGGGTGAGCATTGCTTCGAACTTGGCGGCTTGAGCCTTGCTGAGATTGGTCTTCTTGCTGTCCCAGCGAACGCAGTAGTTGAGCGTGCCCTTGTTAGCTACGATGTGGTCCATGATCCAGTTGTCGTAAGGCTCCACCTCCGCCTTCATGCGGTTGTCCTAAATCCACTGGAGATCCTTGGGGCTGATGTGCGTGTCTGGGTCGCCGACAACACACTCACCAGGCTTGGACTTTACCCCGAAGGGAGCGTGTGCAGCAGTGCTGTTCACGGATGGCGCGGCCTCAGTGGACGTGGCAACCATAGCGGTTGTGGGGACGGTAGCGGAGACGCTGGAAATAAGACTTGGGGCCATCGTGGATGAATGCAGAATGAAGATTTTCTTGGCGATGTAAAGACGCAAGACGCAGACACGCTGTGGTGAGGCTATGGGTATTTGATGCAGTCTACGTGATACCTCAAGGTGAGAGGGCATGGCCAAGCCGCGATACAACAACCGCACGAGCTGCTGTATTCGCCTGCGCATGAATATACTTCATTCAATACATCTGTCCAGGTCCTTAGCGGGACCCAATGGGTCACCCACACCATTTGCTGGTTGATTTTGGATGGAGCTGTAACAGGGGGCCCGGGCAGATGGACCCCATGAGGCAAACAGCAGCGGTGGTGGATACCTACGAGACGCTGGAGGTGGTGACGGACGGCGACACGAAGCCGCTGGCTAAGGAGCACGACAGCAGGTCCACGATAGGCAGTACGGGGGCGGTCCTCGAGGTCGTGACGGTGGCGGAGGGCGGATTCTGTGTGGTCCACGCGTCCAAGAGTGGCACAATAAGCAGCTCGAGCGAGCTGCAGTTGGTGACTCCTATTGAGTCGACATTGAAGGACGGAGCAGCGGGCTGCGGCAGCGAGAGGAGGCCACACACAACGGATTTTGCTGCCGAAGCAGCAGCAGGCAACAGACTCGGACGCGCACGCGGACGAGGGCAAGACGAGCGGGTCCACGGACACGTACGCGACAGAGCGCAAGCTCTACAAGGACGAGACCGAGGAGGATTTGACGGAAGCGCTGACTGAGTGACTGGCCGGAGCTGGGAACCCTGCGTGGAACACGAGACGGGATCGTAGGTTAGTGCTGACTAGAGGTTGACAGTAACTTGCGTGGTAGAAGAGGTTTGCATACCCCCCTAATAAATTCGGTCGAACGCACTGTGGCGGACGATCGGGTGCAGCGGTTGAGTATCGCTGTCGACCAGAGGGTGTTAGAGTTGCAGCGACTCGAAGTAGGACCGACGCAGCGTAGCTATATGACTTGCTCAACAAGCCGAGCAAGATAAGTGGCCTGTTTCAGAACAGTCGATTTGACTGGGCACAGAGTGTCAGAACTGCTGCAGCCTTGCCGACAAAAACTAACCGGTACTATACGAAATTTCTTCTCTATACCCAATAGAAAAATAATATTGATATCGTTTAAAGTAAAGAAGTTATAACGTTTTGTTATGTGGGAGATGAATTCGACCGCTACACTGTAGCAATCACGAAAGTCGCCAATTTGATCTTGGTATTCTGGAAGTAACTAGCTTAACTATCTAATTGGCGCGATGCTGTGGGCTACGGGCCGTCGCGAATGATCGATTCGTAGCCAACTTCTCACAACACGGGTAACTCTCTCAACCATGCCCCAAGGATACAGTAGTTGTGTCTAGAGTTGGTCAAATCCTCATCCAGATATTACCAGTTACCGTTATTACCTTCGTACTTTCCATTTATTAACGTCAATAACTTTTATGTATAGTTGGTGTGGCAGAAATATTCGATCTGCTAACGGTAATACCTCATGTGTATAGTTGGTGTGGCAGAAATATTCGGTCAACGCGTTTCGTGAAGTTGTCAACGTACGTGGAGGTCTACCGACATGAATCTGCGTATGCTCCACGTGGCAGGCAGCTCGCGCACGGGGCCTATTCTCGTCGCTGCATTCGCAAACTTGCTCCTGTAGAGCCTGCAAGCTCCATGGACCAAAACGGCCACCGCAACGAGGACCGGGCTAGCAGTGAAGGGTCTGGCCTTGGTCGCCCTTCAGTTGGCGTGTGGACCGAGTACATTGTGGTTGTGCCACGTTGGGCCAACCCGAAGAAGCAGCACCCCGACGTGACGTGCACGCACTGCTCCAAGCTCATCAAGAATGCCCAGCCCAAGAAAAACCTCCGCCCACACATTCGCAGCTGTCCCTGCGCCCCAGCGGACGTCCGGGCTAATTACCCAGTAACACCCTCCAAGCGAGATCGTCCCGACACTTCCGATAGGCCCCACAGTCCATCCAAGCGTTCGCGGCCTGAAATGGCTACGAGTGTGCTAGGACCGGTCTCAGTGACTGAAAAGGAGTTCCATCTTCAGATTGCCAAAGCGTTCTATGCCTGCGGCATTCTGTTTCGAGTCATCGAAAATGGAGCCATGAGGTGTATCCTGACGAAGTACCGGCCCGGAATGACGCTCCCTTCACGCCAAGATTTGGCGACCTCACTGCTTGATAGCGCGTACGCGGAGGAAGTTGTCAGCGTTATGGAGGTGCTGAGGGAGCAGCAGTACGTTGCCATTGTATGCGACGGATGGTCCGATCCCAACAGCGAGTCCATTATCAACTTTATGGTGACGTCTCCATTTATCCGACCCATATTTTGGTCATCGGAGCGCTGCGCCGACAAACAACATACAGGGGAGTTCATGGCGTCAGAGTTGAACAAGTTGATTCAAGCTGTTGAAAATGTCGTCGGAAAAGGATCCGTATGCGCTGTTGTGACGGACAACGCGTCTAACAGGCGTAAGTCATGGGAGCTTCTAATGGCCAAGATACCAAGTCTAACGTGTAACGGCTGCGCGGCACACATGATCAATCTTCTACTCAAAGACATGTTCGGGATGGAGCTCATGAGTGACGTCTTCAAGAAAGCCGTCCTAGTTACCAAATTTGTGCGTAAACGTGCAGCGCTTCTTTATCGCTTTCGGGCTCTGCAACGCAAGTATCTTGGTACCCGGCAGCGACGACGCGCGCTAATCATCCCTGTTTCGACGCTGTGGTACTCGAGCACAAATTGTATTTCCAGTGTCGTGAGGAACGAAGATGTGCTGCGTGAGTTGTTTTCCAACCATGAATTTCTGGCTCGTTACGGAGATGCTGCTGCCAAACTCAATCGCGTCGAGTCCATTTTGGCTGATAGCATGTTTTGGGTGAATGCCAGAGCCGTAATGCGACTGACGAACCCGATAATCCAAGCTCTCGGCGCTCTCGAAAAGGATGGGTGTTGCCTTTCGATGGTGTATGAATACTTTCGTGGACTGAAAACCCACGTCATCTACAACCGCGAAACTGATGATGTTGCTTCTGGTATTCTTAACACGATCCGAGGCCAGATTAGCTCCCGCTGGAACTTCCTCAAGCGCGAATCAATCCTCGCTGCATTTTTACTGGACCCAACTAAGTCTACGGACGACTTTGAAGGTGATGATTTGGACAATGCAGTCGATGCATGCGTAGATCTAGCTACACGAGTTGGTCTACCCTCCAACGTATCTCCAAATGCGGTTCGCCGAGCTGTCATGGCTTTTATTCGCGTGAAGAAGTCCTGGACAGCCGAAGACCACGAAAAAAACGCGAGGGACACGCCATTAGACTGGTGGCTGGTCAAGGTTAACAAGTTTCCGCTCCTACATGTTTTGGCTACCCGCGTTTTGAGCATCCCGACGTCGTCCGCTGCGAGTGAGCGCTCGTGGAGTGTTCACTCCTTCATCCGCACCAAGCGACGAAATCGGCTGAAACCCGATCGCGTGGAAAAGCTAGCATATTTGTACTCGAATGCGGGTGACAAGGCTGCAACTAGTGCAGTGCACTATCAAGTCAATGCAGAAGAAGAGGGCGAAAGCAGCGCGAGTGACGACTACAGCGATGATGACATCGTTGCGTCAATTGCTCCCAACAGCTCCAGTCGCATGCGCGGTAGTCGGTCTAATACGGCGCACCGATCACGATTCTTCACGCCCTCGCAGACCGACCAACGTGAAGCTGTCCCACCCCCGCTAGCTCGAAGAACACTATTTTCGCCTGCGCTAGCCAACCCGCTACCCGACCAAGCGACGAATACCAGCACAGTATGCAGTGACGAGGCTGCGGTCGCTCTTACGCAGTCGGTCGCTCCTACGCAGTCGGTCGCACTTACGCAGTCAACAAGCAGCGGAACCGTTTTCACGCGTGCTGATGAGCGCCAGCTTGTGCCACCGGTCGTGAGGCCGCCCGGATCGGCAAGTGCAACAACACCGAGTCAACCAACTTGCGATCGTCTCGTATTTTCAGGGGGTAGCATGTGGACTACCTCCAACTCCACAGTCGAGCACTGGACGCACCCACCACTCGCCGAGGGTGCTGTTTGGTCCAACCTGGGAGCATTAGCATATTTGACTTTGTTCACGCGCAACACGATCCATATTTTCATTCCGTTCACGCCTTCTTGATTACATATCATGCACTAGTTAGTCAAATAGAGTCGTCGTCCTCATGCAAATGTGTATCAATGCATTGGCTTCAACCTCTTTCGAATTTCTTCTAGATGCTGCCTCGGCTGATGATATTTCTAGCAGCTTCCTCCGCTTCATTTTCTCGTGAGGAGTTTTGGTTCTGCTGCGGACTTGGGTAGTTGTTCATGATAGGGGTAGACTTGATGGTGCTTGTCGGACGTGACGGCATATTCGTCGTCGCGCTACTCGAGCCTTGATCACTCATGCACGCAGCCGAGGATGTTCGATTTGCTCTTGCCGGCCTCACCACCCTGTTTCAGCGCGCACACAACCTTTCTGTGCTTGTGCGTGGTGAAGCTGCGTGTGGACCCGTGGCCATGGCGGTCGCAGAACACTTTGGTGACCTTAGTGGTGGCGAACTTGCTAGGGGTGAAGGAGAGGTGGAGGGCTAAACCGCTTTTGCCCTGACTAATCCGAGTTCAAATAATGCAAACGCCAGCTCTTCTTGCTCTTCTTATAATCGTAGAGCTTCACATCAGTTAGCTCACATATTCAGTGCATCGTGCAGTACCCGCCGAAACAGGTTGCCCTTCTACGAGATGACCTCAACTTGAACTTCTGTCACTGAGCTGCCAGCGCAACGGCGCATATTGGTACAGCAGAACGCGCACTAGCACTCCCACAAAAAAAGAAGCGTCATATTTGGTTAAGAATGCAGTAATAATGTAACATCAACGCTTGTAGCGCAACATTTAGGCCTCGTCCAACCCTTACCAGCGAGCTGTTCGTTCATGTAACAGCATAATGGCCACCTCGGCGATGTATATGATACTCTTCAAGCCCTTC